TTACTCAGTGCAATACACAGACACCCGTTGCGTGTAGATACGGGTGAGGCACACTTTTATTTTTCTTCCCCAATTTCTTTTTTTAATAAAAATTGATCTGGATTTTTTTTTTTAAACCGTAACTTTCCGACCTTTTCCCTGGGGATCATTAGGCCTTTTGGGGTGATAAGGGTGATCTCGAATGAAGACAGTTGGCTCTCACCAATTCCCTTTCGTTCGGCTATGCATAGCGTGGTCTCACCGCGCAAAACACGCCTACGAACGCCCGCAGCGCTCTCTCTCGAGAATTGCTGGCAACGCTATAACGCGACATTATCGTTATAACCGTAACATACCCTGCACTGGTAAAACAAATGTAGAAAGTTGCACACCAAATGATGTGCAGTATCAAGGGTGCAAAAACTAAACACTTCACGATGTCGAACTCAACTAGACGTCAATTTTTGTGCAAATATTAGAAGAACACAGTCGCTTTCTCGTGGAAAAGAAGCTGCACATGGAATTTTAGTGAGCGGTCACTCATGGAAAACGGACCCTCTTCCCTGGAATATTGTTCATGGGATTCCATTTAGCGCACAGGATATTCTGACTGAGGGGTTTCTTGTTATGCGAAAGGGATAAAGGAAAATGTCCGAAGTCGAGCGTTGAAATAAGAAACCATCGACTCTTACTCTGAGATTATATTCAATTCATTAAAAACTATAATACATACTATTATACACACTGTATACCGAGAAATGCCTGCAGAAGTGGCGTATCTGTGCACTGATAAACTAAATATTCAACTGCTCGACACTTCTAAGTGTGCAACTGTAAGTTAAATACTTGCAAGTGTGCAACTGCAAGTTAAATACTTCTAAGTGTGCAACTCCTCGGTTGAACACTTCCTACACATTAAGCGTCCAATCTAAGGAAAGTGCACACTTGCAAGTGCACATCTACCGAGTTTTACACTTGCAAGTTTACGACTACGGAGTTGCACACTTGCAAGTATTCCACTTGCAGTTGCACACTTACAAGTGTTGAGCACTTAAACACTTAGTTTATCAGTGTGAAGAGGCGGGGAACACAGTCGGTTCTGCGCCGGCCAGGCAAACACTGGCGTATGTGGAATGAGACGGCATCACTGGTGGATCTGCTTTTCGGCTGGTCTGCACGGCCAACTTTGGAGGCATATTGCTCATCGTAGGTATGTCGTACAGTATTGACTGATGTTCCATTTTAATGTTTGTTCCCTCGTGATTGATTTTTCACATGACTCAATACTGTACGACACACTTCCTACGATGACCAATAAGCCTCCATTAAACGTTTGTCTGCAACGAAAACAAAATAAGAAAGGAAGAAGTTTGCTTCAAGAATATGGCGGCCGGTCCATAATGATACCTGTGCCAACCTCCACATTCTTGAAGGAAACTTCTTCCTTTCTTCTCTTTTCGTTGCTGACAAACAGTTAATAGTTGAATGAGCAGGTCAGCCTAAAAGCAGATACGCCAGTGATGGCCGTCTCTTTCCAGATCCGCCAGCGTTGTCTAGGCCGGCGCAGAACCACTAACGTTCCCCGCCTCTTCACAGATACGCAACTTCCGCAGGCATACGTCGATATAATGAGATGAATTTACACACGTTTACACAAAAATCGTCGTTTTGTAATTGTTTTAAAAAATAAATACACTAGTAAAGCTGTGTTACTTTGGTTTCACTCATAGAACTGCATTTTCAGCACACTTGAAAAGACATTTCCGTCATGCAACTGTGGCATGTTTATCGATAGGGTTGCCAAGAACCCCTGCCTCGCACCAGAGAAATGGAAGAAAATTGGTTATCATCTCAATCTGAGCCTCTTGAAGTATTCTGTCAGCGCGTGGTGTGTAGCCCTCTTACGCAGGAGTCCGGCTGGGCTCTGGCGGTACGAACGTGGGGTTGTCTATACCGTTCCCGGACTTCCCTTCGGACTGCGGCGGTGGGGGCGACGATGGTCTCTCTGGGGTGGCGGAGAAAATGCGTCGGACACCGGTATTCCCACGGACAGAACCATCCAGATTATACCACAATCTCACCCCCTTACCTCTTCGTGGCGGTCCCCTGAGTGCCTTTTCGATGGCCATGATCGGCGACTCCATGGTAAGGCAGAGGCAGGTACCGAAGAAGGTGGCAAGTACTAAGTCACCTAACATTCCCTCCACCTACGCAATAGAAAATAGTTGGTCAGGAGCTGCTGGTGTTGAGTACGAAAGTGAGCAGTGCATTACTACAGGTCAAAATGTAATAAAAGTTTTTGAAGATAGACATGCAAGTCTTACAGGTTGCAAAAAAGAGATTGGATACAAAATGCACATCGCGAATGCAGTTCTGCCACCTGCGAGGCTATGTTTAATATCAATGACGGAAAGTTGCCTCTAGCAGGTTGAAAGTGTGACACATCCTCACTCTCATTTCCCTATGGATGTGCTGTCCGTACGTTATGAAGAATTTTGTGCTAACGTATTATGGATCACAAATTATCCATAATATGGATAAAATTGTCCGTATTACAGACAATTTGATCCATATTACAGACATGCCCTCCTCCGTAAGGTATAGACCTTTCGTCCATACCTTACTCAGTGCAATACACAGACACCCGTTGCGTGTCCATATATTTGATATACGACTTGAACTTGAAAGTGTTTTAAGCGTTTTACTTAACTGAATTCATTGACCCTATCTGTTACATTTTTTCGCTAATAAATATCACTTACAAGTCTATTTATCGGTGATGCACACTAGCAAATAATGTTCCGGTAACACTGCAAAATTACTGTTTTGGCCCTTTTTCGTCTGTCCCCTGAGGGCTTTTGATGAGGGAAACGCGGGGCGGGGAAGAGGGACTCACCATCTTAAAGTCCGTGTAGTATTCGGAGGACCGCATAAGGCCGTGGTCAACCATCTGTACGGCGGCGTGCGTCAGGTAGATGCCGTACGTTAGCCGCCCCAGCACGCAGAACGGCGTCCACGAGAGGAAGGCGTTGATGGGTCCGCCGTTGCCCATGATGCAAGCCAGCACGATCCAGGCAATGCCGATGGACCAGGCGACGCGGTGGAAGCCCGAGTAGAAGGACGCCTCCCACACGTTGTATGGGTGGTTCTCGTGGTCGAGGAGAGGCTGCTCTCCGAAGATCACTGTCAGGCACAGGGCTGTGCTGGCCAGCCACCCAAGGGTCACCTGGGCCTGGGAGGACAGGAGGACATCATTCATCTGGGCGAGCTTCGAAGAGGGGGGAAGTGAAACAAATTAACGGGAAGTGGATACGCACAGAGGAAAGCCGCCACGTCAGCTTGCCGGTCTTGATCTTGTAGAGGGCGTAGCCGACCATTGTGCCCATGATGTATGCCGTGGCGCGGGTGTGGGTGGGGTAGTACATCTGTTCGAGGAACACGTGCTGGGCGTCCATGCTGATGTCTGTGGACATGGGCGCAGGCAGCTCGTAGAAGTACGTGATGAGGAAGGGTGAGAGGCAGGACAGAACAAAGAGCAGGCCGCCCCAGGCGAGGCCCACCACAGGGAACTTCCAGAGCGGAATCAGCAGGAGAGGCGACAGCCAGTGCAGCTGCATGTCTACCATGAGGTACCACGACTGCATCATGCATTGGTCCGTGGGCGTGGCATAGTTGGCCACGTAGAGCAGCGCGGACCACCAGTTGCGGATGCAGCTGTCGCTCGCGTCACCCACCACCTGGTACCACAGGGGGCCGTTGCCGAGGATCGCGATCCAGGTCGCGGTGATGCCGATCATGAGTGCGAAGGCCGGCGTCAGCCTGCGGAAAGCGTGTGGAGGGGGGTAAGTTGAAGGCGAGTTTAGTCGGTAAACAGAAAAAATGAACTCCTTTGATGACGTTCTATATACGAAAAAAAATAAATAGATAAAACGTTTCTTGGTGCAAATGCTGCCATTTGTGGATGTTATGGCATTTCTTAGTCCGCATTTTACACCAATAAACTGCCCCTGAGGATGAAATTTTGACCTGGTCACGCTGGCACCATCACTGGGAGTGCCGTGGCACGCATCGAGGAGGCGCTGCCCACCCTCGTGCCCACCTGACGTAGCGATGCACGTAGTACATGATGAAGTTGAAGGAGCGCTTGCCCTGGACTGTCTTGAGGAAGGCGTAGCAGTTGACCATGCCACCGACCAGGAAGAAGGTGTCGACGGACAGGGGCGCGGAGGCGATCATCATGGCTGAAGGGTCGGTCACCCGCTGCAACGCAACATGGCGTGAGGTCAGCGTCCGGGACAGAGTTGTCGTACATCGCATCCATGGAGTTCCATTCAAGGCGGTACTTCACGGAAAAAAGTGAATTTGTTGGGGGGAATCAATGTCTGTCTGTCTGTCTGTAGTGAATTTGTTGGGGGGAATCAACTCTCTTTGACAGGCTAAATTCGACAGCTAGAATCAAAAGTTCGATACCTAGGTAGTAGGTTGTCAATTGTACGAGTGGACCAAACTCCACCAGCTTAGTTTCGTTAATTTTGTTATCAACACATCTTGGAGTGGCGAGAAAATCCCACCTTGAATGAAACACCCTGTTCATTCCAAGTTCGTATTCAATATTCCGCTGCACAATTATCAGGGATCAAGTTGGTATACGCGGCTTTATCTCGCGCCGGCTCGGCTAACGCCGTTTTCAATTTAGTCTGGCCCTGCCCTCCAATAGCACAACGCCCTTTATTGCAGACCTTGATTTTAACCAGCCTGCAACATCCCACCCCAACATATGTTGCCTGGCACTTTTAGCTGTGATGCCCAAGCAAAGTGCGTACCTTGGGCATGACGATGAGGTTCATGTAGGGCACTGCGAGCGCGTTGATGTAGCGGTGGCCCAAGACTACCCACATAGCGGAGAGGAAGCGGATGCCGTTGATGCAGGTAAAGTTGGAGTCACTAGGTGGTGCTATGGTCAGAAGGCGCTTGCCGTTGGTGTAGGCCGAGAAGGCCAGCAACATGCCCACCTTCTGGCGCGAGTGTTTGGCTGCAACAAGGAAACAGCGGAGGAATTTCAGTGTGGTTTGGCGTCTCAGTCTTAGGTTACGTGATAAATTCGGTGACATAGATGTCCTCTGCATAGATGTCTTACCTACGAGAGTGAGGTCGATGGTGGTCCCCAGGATGACCAGTAGGATGAGAATGACGCACAGCGCTCTGCAAAGAGAAGGTGCGTCAAGTTCGGCCTGGCCCCGGACCCCTTCCCCTAAGCCGCTTACTCACATGACGACGTAGTCACCGGGGCCCGCCTTCCTCCAGGGCCCCGCCACGTTGGTGTACCTCTCGGGCAGACGGACCTCCAGGTGGAAGCCGGCCGCAGAGAGGGGGGCGTTGACCACGGCCAACGCGCGGGCCAGCGCCGCCTCAACCACGGCCGCCTGGCACGTGCTGGGCACGCACACGGATATGCGCAGCGCCGCCAACGTCGAGTACTCGACCGTGGCGTTGTCGGTGACCCGTGGCGTCTCCGGGATCGCGCCGCGACCCGCCGCTGCCACCGCCATGAGGCCCTTGTGCAGCTGAGCGAGTCGTGCCTCGCGCGTCATGCTATTCGCAGGCTTGACCACGGTCTGCATGTCCAGGGCCGGAAGCGCGTAGCGGCCCGTGAAGCCCTGCTCCTCCACACTCCCCGACGCGACGCACTCGTCAAAGTTGCCCATGTCGGCCAAGTTTCCGTAGAGCACGCCCGTGATCAGCTTGGAAGACGAGTCGACCACTGGGCAACGTGAAACAATTCAGGTTTAGATACTAAAGCAGGTACGGTGTGCGTTCACACACTTTAAAAAATACAGTAGGTTTACAAGTTTTCGGATGCTTCTTTTTGAGCTGGCAGGGCTTGTAATATTTGTTTACAAGGCAGGTATGAGCTTACAACAAGTCCATATGAGCATATTGGACTTCACGGTAAAAAAAGAATCCGGCAAATCAAAACTAATAAATTGGGTGCTTTTAGGATAGACTGTGAAACTTTAAGTCGTCACTTTACGAAAAAGTTACTCCTTAATTTTACTAACGAATGGTTCATCACAAGGGATGAGATGATTGTTTCGTCATGCGACAACTCAATCCTAAAAACCTTTGAAATGAATGTGTCGTCACATAACTAGAAAAGAGAAAATCGGTACAGTGAGAATTGAACCTGGGACCCTCGGCGTGGATTCAAGCGCCCTTAAACTACACGGCTACTGAGGATATCTGTGTGGGGTTGTACTGGTACCCGGAGCCATGAGCACTTATTTTGTTCCAGGTTTGTGACAGTTATTTTGTCATGTGACGGAAGTTTTATTTATCTCTATTGACGAATAGATCATCGCTACTGACAAATGGTTCATCTCAACCCTTGTGACAAACTATTTCGTCACAATATTTTTCATCACATGGCGAATCAGTTTAATTGTGCTGTCTATTGAGATATCGAGTTTTATATCCATCTCTCCGAACAACCTCTTAGAACATAGACAAAAATGTGAATAATAATTGGACGATTTCGGAACTATTTGATCACTGTCGGCGTGGATTGGACACGTACTGGTGTATTTTGCGCGGTTTCGTTCTTTCACTTTCAAAATCACCACGACAATATTCCGTGCGATATTGTGTCCCTAATGGCCCCGTCGCAATTAGGGGTAATTTAAAAACAGTATGGCAAAAGACGATCTGACCCAGCTGCTGAAATCAAAGAGGCAACGGTGTAACGTTTTTAGCAAGAATGGTCATCATCCCGTGTAGAGGACGCTTAGTTAAAGTAAACATCAGTTGAAGTCTTACTAAGAGTTTTTTTACGATTTAAAGTCAAGTCATATTCTTTCGTTAAAATTTTAAATAGTAGGGAATGTAGCGTTGCCACGTTGACCCCTGCAGCTGGGTCAGATCGTCTACCTGGAATTGTCGCCAAATCCACATTCTTGGTCCAATCGTGTCCCAACCGATTTTTTATTCTTTAGGACAATGGTGTGGCTTCTATGTTAAAGACCCCAACTTCCACTGACTGGTAGACTGCTAGAACTCGTTGAACGTCTTGACAATGATGTAGCAATGTGTCACTCGATTTAGGCAAAAATGTGACTCTCATATTTGCAGTGTTCCCACCGGTTTCTACACTGTCTTGCAAAACAACCACTGCAAAAGAAAAAAATTGCCGCACCCAAGGGGTGCCTAACTCCACAAAAATGTGTACACCGGATTACCAAAGCGTGATGATAGCCGGGCTGGCTAGAACACTAAAGCTGTCACGCTATCAGAGGGGCTACCCCGACTAGCTGTATAATGGGGAATACTTGAGCACCACCACGTCAGACCGCCGTCAAGGTTGACCACCTGGGCATGCTCACAGCCGCTGGCACTCACTCTGCAGAGCCCACTGCTCGGCCCGGTACAACCCCGCGCCCCAGCGCACCAGAGCTGCGCTGCAGTCTTCGACGCCAGGAAGACTCTGCTTCTCGAGCAGGGCGCCCTGAACGTGCCGTAGGAGCGCCTCCGGGTGCGACAGGGAACTAAAAAACTCCCTGAGAGCCGCATCCTCGTCGGTGTTGGGGTCAACGACGGAGGGTCCAGGGTCGGCGCGCGTCCACGAGGACTCGAGGGCCAAGACGGCCAGCAGTAGCGCGACGGCGACTGACTTCATCTCGACTGACCGGCGCGACTGACTCACTGCAGACCGAGGGCGGCGAGTGAGTGAGTGAATGCGGCAAGGTCCCTGTGTCTTATCGCGATCTCACCGATTCACCCGCTCGCCTATCAGTGCCCAATCAGATAAGGAAGACGCACCCGCGACACCTGCGTCAAAGGGTCGCGCGATGGGTGCAAAGTCTGGGTCAATGGCTGGCACCAAAGTGCGACCACCTGGATGGTCGATCTAACTGACGCACGGCCACCTTGGCGCACGACCTTTCTTGGAGAAAGCACTCGCTTGCGAGCTCCGAGATTAGATTGAGTGTGTGTGCGTGCGTGCGCGCGTGCACCTGTTTAGCAACAATCCGATCGGAGCCGTATAGGCTAAGGCACCGAATTCAGCGACGGTAGGCAAACCCAGCGACACGCCATCACGCAATACAGTGTAAGGGTGAAAGTTGAAAATTGTGTCACATCCAGCTAAGCGCATTTTCGGATCAAATACAACGGTTACTCGTTACGGTATAGAAAGAGAAGTCTGCACATATAGACGATACGTCGATGGAGGTTTGCCAGTAGCACTACTACAGTGCGGCCCGGTTCACAGACCAATTAATTCGGTTATATTGGTTATGCTGCACCGGATGCAGGCGTGCGGTTGGGTTGCATACTCGCACGGGGCCGTAAGGTGCTACGGTGTGCAAGCCCGCCCGCACTGTTGTTCTAGTGGTTTTCGTGGGTTCGGACAGGATATTACTCGGTTGTTAGGTTTAACTATCGAACTGTGTTAATGAAATTTAGAAATATAAAATTGGGGCCTCCACACTCACTGCTGCCGGGCTACTGGCGACTGGTGAGCCGAGTCGTGAGCTGAGGGCCTTAGGTCCTTCCCCGCGTAGCGATCTGTGGCGCGACCGCTGGAAGGGTGAATTGCACCAGTTCCCATTTCCTGTCACCGCCGACCTGGGCGCCTCGCGCGAATATTTGAATGCCTCGCTTCATTGCTACAACAGCACGCTTGCATGCAGTAGTGTATAAGTGAAATAAAGGAAAGGGTGTGTGGAAGTGGAACACCTTGTACCAGTTGGCTGATTAACACCGCGCACTTCTGTAGTTAGACAGTACCGCACGCAGGAGTGCGGGCGGGCTTGCCTATCGCCCCTGTCCACGGCACCTTACGGGCCGGGCGAGTAGGCAACCCGCCCGCACTAGTGCACGGAAAAAACAAATTAGTTCTCCCAACTAAAGTTTAAGTTGATTCCCGGATAACGAAGAAATTTTGGCTCCAGCAACCAGTTTTTGATTGTAACAACCAGCATTAAGTCGAGGGAAGATTGTGCCTACCCATCAGGCGCCATGAGAGGTGGCATTGCCCTAATTTGGAGGGTTCGTAAGGCGAATGACGGATTGGGGGATTGGTGAGAGCCGACTGTGTTCATTCCACTCGAATGTTTTTGGCCTGTCAGATCAATTTTTATTAAAAAAAGAAATTGGGGAAGAAAAATAAAAGTGTGCC